AGGCCCCACCACCCCCTCTGAGGAAGCACTCCGGTGACGTGAAGCCTTCCCACGACACCCCACCTCTTAAAGTTTCCACCACCTCACAAAATTGACAAGCTGGGGAGCAAACTTCGACATCTGGGCCTTTGGGGAACCTTCTAGATCTAAACTATACTATGTATACTTACAGTGGTTACATTTTATGGCTTGTAAATTGTATCTCGAAGAGGAAGGAGGAGGAGAGAAAGGAAAGAAAGGGAAGGGGGTGCCTGCCTCCCAAGCGCAAGGACCCGAGTTCGATCCCCGGTACCAAAAAAAAAACAACAAAAGACAAACAAACAAAGGGAAGGGGAAATTAGCCAGGAAGGGGGATGAAAGGGCTTCTGGAATAATGGCGTTGCTATGTTTCTTGATTTCTGTGTTGGTTAAAAGGCTGTGTTCGTTTTGTGAAAGTCCATGAAGCTGTCTGTTTATGCTTTGTGCATATTTCTATATGATGTTATATTACAGCAAGAACATTTACTAAAAACAATTCTGCCAATATGAGAACACCATTTCTCCCCAGTTATGACTGAAATATTTAATGATACTGAAAGTTGTTTCTTTGCTGGTTATTAGTTTGTATAATCACATCACTCTGCCAACTTAGTTTTACAGTGTTAGGAATTTAGGTTTTGTGTGGCTTAATACAGAAAGGGTTATAAAAGATATATTTAGCTAATCACACATGTGCCACAAGAACATCACTGGAAGCCATTGTCACTTAATTATTCACAGCAGTTATCAACATGGACAGTATTCAGTGTGCAACCAAAATAAATGGAAGTTTTAAGAGGGCTTGTTGGAACAATCAAATCATCAGTCTCAAAAAGTCTTCTTTCTCTCAGCCCAGTTCTCCTGCTGCCTGCCAGAGTTTCAATTCTATATTTAGCTTCTCAAATCAGCAGTACAGCAATTAGTTATTATAATAAGAGCTACCAATTTATTGTGTGCTGACTTCATGCCAGGCACTGCATTGTTGGATTTTTCCATACTTCAGTCTCTCATTTCATTGTCACAACAACCCTGAAGAAGAGTTGTTTATTCCATCTTACAGCTGAGGAAACTGAGGCTGGAAGAGTTCTGAGTGGGTCCAGTCCTCTGGTGCTGGTCATCGGCAGAGCCTGAGAGCAGGCTGGGGTTCCACTCAGTCATCTTGGACCTGACATCGGTAACAGGAAATGAGTGACACATGTGAGAGGATTCTGAATCCCCAAACATGGCTTTTCACATAGTTATTATAGTAACTGCACTACAGGATGCTTTCTGTGTTTGCTGAGATTTCAATGAATCCACTGTTAGCCCTTGGGGTATGGAACCTCCATTGCCCTCGAGAATCCCGAGGGACATTTTAATAGGTTTAAAATAGCCTTCTTGCTTTGTCATCAAGCCTTTTATTTCAGAACCCCCTGGAACATTCAAGTCCCTCATGTACTATGGCAGCTTCACAAATATTATCAGTCGCACCTGGTGTAAAACATAGGACCTCTATAAGGTGACAGAGAGGAGGAAAAAGATCCCTTTTCTTCTGCCCTTCTGTAGCAAAAGACAAATTAGCAAGAAAAAAACATGCACATTTGCTTCATATAAGCTTTATATGATGTGGGAGCCTTCATAAGAAAACAGACCTAAAGGGCCAGGGATGTAGCTCAGTGGTTTCAACGCCTGCTATGCAAGCACAAGGACCTGAGTTTGATCTCCGGTACCAAAAAAAAGAAAACAGACCTAAAGAAATGGTTAGACCTGAGTGTCTATACCAGATTTGATGAAGAGTGGGTAGTTGTGGGAAGTGAGATAGGACAAGTCCGGTTGCTTCGTATCCCCCCAGCACCCCTCCATCTTTGGAGGTGTTGACACACCTCTCCTCTGGGTATGAAAGGGGTTCCCGTCTCACAGGAAGAACTTATGACTTGCTTCAGGGGAAGGCCAGAGGGTCCTTCTTCCACCTGCCATTCTCAAATTCTTTCAGCTTAAAATATTCAGCATGCCAAGGTGCTGTATTTAGGGGTGGCATGTCCTAAATTTCATCATGATGCAACGGTATTTTGGACAGAGTCCTATAGAACCGCTGACAAAGTGACGCAGTTGAGGACGGGGCAGTGCAGGGGTCCCCTCGCTGGGCTGGGACAAGGGTACTCATCTAGGCAGGAGGGAGTGCAGGAAGGGAGGCCTGGGGCCCTGCAGAGTCGCAGCCGGGAGGCTCTGCTTGTGCTAAACTAACAAATACATGCTGGGTAATGGTTCGGAGCAGGATGGAGCAGGAGGGCCAACCAAGGCTGAAATGTGTTATTGACGAGCGTGGGAGGGGGTGCTGAGCACCCAAGGGAGGGAGAACTCGGAGTCTGGAGTCCTCAGGAACCTTTCACAGGCCAGCTGGTGATGCTATGGCAGGGCAGCTTTATCCCAGACTCTCGGGCCAGTAAACTTTTCACAGGTGACGTATGGAGACATTCATGGGGCCCAAGACAAAAGCCAGAGCTTCTGAGTCCTGGGCCAGTTTAAGATGCAGCCTCTCTAATTACAGTCCTAATGGTGAAAACAAAACGATGAGGACATCCAAGGCCTTTCTCTCAACAGTGGTGAGAACCAGATTCCTTCCCCTGGTCCATAGCTCCCAGCAGAATTCTGGAAGCTCGTGAAAGAGAAGGTCATAAACAGCAGGCAATTAGGAACCTTATAAAAGAGAAGAATGCTCCTGTCAAACTTACCTCAGCGTCTCTGTGGCTGGAAGAGGAGGTGTTAGAAACTGTTGGCTGCAAGGGTCACTTCTGACAGGGGCAGGGAAGAGGAAGGTCTGCTTAGGAATTTATTTCTGAATTGGGGCAGCCAGGGAGTAAAAAGCAATAGGAGGCCATTTATATGTCTCTAGAAAACCTCAGGCGGTGAAACCAGTGACAAAGGACCACAGGAGACTTAATAGAGGGACACAGGTAGAGGCAGAAACAGAGACAACAGAGACAGTGCCTTCCACTGGGGGTGACCGAGCAGAGAGGTTTCCCCGAAGGTTTGTTTCTTGGCCAGAAGCCCCCAGGTGCCCTGCATGGCTTCCATAGCAGCTGAGCCCCCTCTCCTTTGGGGGTGCCTCCCTCACATCATCCCTCCAGCTCTGGCCCAGGCACAGACTCCCACCCTGAACCCCAGAGGGCCTCTCATCCGGGCCCTGTTTTGGAAAAGCCCCCAAAGGGCCCGGACTTTCTTTTCGCAGCCCTGCTGCACCGGATCCCTAACTCCCCGGGGCCGGGGGTGGTGGGGGATTAAGAGGCAGGAGTTTGCAAAGCTGCACTGCACGCACAGGTGGCGTGGGGGCTTCTCAACACAAGCCTTCATCCCAGACACTCATCTCGCTTCCTGCTTTCCCTCTGCCAGTTCCTTTGCCCCATCCTACCTACTGCTCTTTCTCCCTTGCTCCTTGATTTCTCAACTCTGAAAATCGGACTGGCCAGCTCCTGTCGGCCGAGGTCGCCCTGAGAGAGGATCGAGTATACGCAGCACTCGCCAGCAGGTCGAAGTCTAGCTGGCAATGGACAGTTTCAGAACTGAGGGAGGGTTCGTGCTCAGGGGGACAAGCGAGGGGAGCCCATGGGGAGGGAGACTAGGGCTAGCAGCCTCGGGTGGAGGCCAGGACCCCTCTCTCCTCCTCTTCATCTTGGCTGCCCTTGCACTGGGTAAATCGCCAAATGGGAAGCTCAGAGAAGGGACTTGTTTCTGACAGGGTTGCCAGGTAAAATACCTTCCCATCTTTTTTGGGGAGGGGTACTGGGGATTGGATCAGAGCTGTCAACTGAGCTATACCCCTAGTCCTTTCAATGAAAAACAGATCTTTTTCAGACAAAGTCTCACTAAGTTGCTAAGTTGCCTAGGCCGGAGTCCAAGCTGGAATCCTCCTGCCTCAGCCTCCCACAGTGCTGAAATTACAAGGATGTGCCACTACTATGCCTGGCTAAGATGCTTGTGTTTAATGCAATATTTGGCATACACCTATAATAAAAAATTATTCATTGTTTAGCCCAACTCTAAATTTAACTGAGCATCCTGTCTTCATTTGCTAAATCTGGCCACTCAAGCTGCTGATGAATGAGCAGGGGTTTTAGAGGGAAGAGCATGCCTGCAGAGGGAACAGCACATGCAAAGACTTGGAGGTAAGGGGTCCCATGATTCATGCATGGAACTGAACACTGCTCAGCTGCCGAGTGCAGTACAAGGGGAAGGGAGGGCGTGGCCAGAGCACACCAAATGCTAAGTGCCAAGCCCTGTGTGAGTCTGTCCTTACTCCGGGGTGCTGCTAGGAGCCTGCAGTCGGCCTCTGCCTTTAGGGAGTTCACAGTCTCGCTGAGAAGTAGGGTGAGAGCCCCAGTGGAAGCTAGAGCTGGGGAACCTCAGGCTCTGCGAGAGGTCAGCAGATGAGGGAGAGACAGTTTGCGGAAGGAAGGACAAGGGGACCCCTGTCCAGGAGCTGAGAGAACAGTGTTCCAGGCACAGGGAGCAGAGAATAGAAAGCCTGGAAGGGACAAAAATGGGCAACAGGTCCCAGAGACAGACGTGGCCAGAGAGGTGGGACCCAGAGACAGATAAGAGAGGCAGGGAGGGAGGCTGGACCTGTGGGCCGGGAAGAGCCCTCAGGCAGTTTGGACTGGATCCTGAAGGCAGGAGGCCACTGCAGGAGTGTAAAGCAGGCAGGGCGACATGACCAGCTTTGCGTTCTCCAAGTGACTCATGCTAGGGACAGGGACAGATGGGAGGAGTGGAGGCAGAGAGCGTGAGGGAGGGCAGTGAGGGGCTACTGCAGAGGTCCAGGATGGACAGACCGGTGGCTTGGCCTAGCTCGATGGTGGAGGGGTGAAGAGGGGGGAGAGATGGATCCAGGCTGCACTGAGGGGGAAGACTTGGCAGGGCTGGGTTCCCTGGCACTGGGAAGCCAGGCGGAGGGAGGAGCAGGCGTGACTCAGAGCTTTTGGTTTGGGCAGATGGGTGGATGGCCGCACCATTTGCTGAGCTCTGGGGGTGGTGGAAGAGAGTTCTGGTTTGCATATGCTGAGGATGAGGAGGCTGCTGGTGGACCACAGAATGACGGGCTCAAAGAGGGAGAGCGCATGTAGGAGCCAGGCAGAAGACTGTTCAAACCTCCCCTCCCACGCTCAGCTGTGTGGCCTTCATCGGTGACCTGCCTGTCCTTGTTTGGTTTTCTCGTCTGTACCATGGAATGGTGAGACCGATCTGCCCTCGGAGCGTGGTGACCGTGGGGTGGCAGCCTCTGAGGTCAGCCCTGGTGGCTTCCACCTCCTGCTGCTCATCCACTCACACGGTGAAGGGCACATGACAAAAACAGGAAGGGTACGTGACTTTTGGGGCTGAGTTATAAAAGACGTGGTGGCTTCTGTCTTCCTCTCTTAGGTCAGTGTCATCCGCCATTTTTCAGGAGAGGCTTATGTAACAAGGAAGCAATGTCTTGGACTAAACGTCACATGGGTGATCTTGGGAGCTAATTCTCCAGCCTCCTAATGACTGCAGCCCCTGGTAACAGCTGGATGGCAAGTTCATGAGACAACCTGAGCTACTTCGAAGTTCTCAATGCAGAGATGAGATAATAAATGCATGTTATTGTTCCAAGGTGAGAGATAACTGACGTAGAGTAAAAGCACTCAGCCCAGGGCCAGGCTAGAGACCATGCAGGATCTGCAGCTCTGGGATTCAAGAGAGTGCTGAGCTGGAGGTGTGGATCTGGGGACCTTCTGCTTAGATGCAGTAATGGATCCACGAAAGTGGCTGAGCCAGTCCACAGGGAGGGGTAGACAGAGGAGGATGGTGTAGGCCAGACACTGGGCATAAACGGTGGGCACATCAAGAGCAGCATCTCCCTGGGCCTGAAAGGAAGAGCTACAGAGGAAGGACAGAACCTAGGGGAACATGGGGTCCTGGGACCCAAGGCTGTCTCTGGGAGGGTGTGGGCAGCTGCTTCCCTGCAGAAAGGCCTGAGACACAGAGGTTCTTTTGGATTTGGCATCAAGAAGGGCCTTGGTGGCCCTAGCAGGATCCATTTAGGTGGAGACCAGATTGAATGTTGTGGGTTGGGGCTTTGGTGCCCGGGAGCACAGCAAAAAAAAAAGGCACAAGGCATGAGTTCCTGTCACCCGGACTCTCCTGACACTTGGTCAAAGAAGGCTGAACATTATTGACTATCCTGAGGCTGTTTATTTGATAATAGGGAAGGAGGTGTGGAGAAAGCCAGGGAGGCTGGAAGGTCGGAGTCTAGAGGCCAAAGAGCTGGAAAGAGGGCGGCCGTCACCTGGACAGGGGCCAGAATTCCTCAGCTATCCAGTGAGGGGCAGATAAACCCAATCTAACTTCGGAAGCAACGTCTCCTGACAGTGGGGAGCCAAGGTCCAGCGACCTGCAGTGAAGGAGTGGGGACTCAGACCTCTGGGCCTAATTCTCACCAATCGGTTTTGTCAGTGGTGGCTTTGTCCTTTGCCTTCCCAGAATCCTGCGGGGCGGGTTTTTTCCTATAGTGTGCAGCTACCATAGTAACAGCCCCTGCCAGGCAGCCCTTCCATGTCTTCACCACAGGAGCTTGGAACTTGGAGGCCACCTAGAAACTCTTTTCTCGGTGGCTGCAAACCCTATAGGCTGGCAACCCTGAGCTCCGTGTAGTAAAATAACTTGCAGGGTAAAGGCTTTCCATGCTTAATCCCCCAACCAAGAGTTCTAGATGGAGTGGCAGGAGAATCCTACAGCACATTCAAACTACAGAAAATCCCAGTCTTAGAGCAGCTGCTATAGTGAAGAGACACATGCTTCTGAATTTATTTTATGAGGTTCGGACAACTCTAATAGCAAAAGCACACCAGGAGAGAATAAGATAGGAAAATCATAGGAACATCTCATTTATTAATATGGATGCAAACATCCTAAAGAAGCTATCAGCAAGTGGAATCCAGTATATTGAAAAAAATAGTATATCAAGAATGGACGTAGGTTTAATAAAACTTGATTGTAATTGTTACATCAGAGAGAAAATCCTATATTTGATAAAATTTACCACCCATTCGTAATAAAGCAGAATAATGCTTCCTTACTATGATAAAGATTTATCTATCAAAGTCTGTAACAGACACCATATTTAATGGTCATGATTTTGAGACAGTAAAGAACAAGATAGAAATGTTATTACTGGGTGCTATTCAACACTGTGTAGGGAATTTAGTGTAAAAAGCAAGGAGAAGGAAATAAAGCAAAGACTCTGCAGGAGGTGAAGTGTTTTTACCTGCAGGCGCTATGATTATTTACACAGAAAATTCAAGAGAACCTATTGATTTGTTAGAATGAAAAAAAACTTCATTACATTTGCTAAAGACTTATTATACAAAATCCAACTACATTTCAATAACAATAAATTACAAATTTGAAAATATAATTTACATATCTATAAAAGCTTTCAGATAGAAAGGAATTGCTCAGATATAACCACCAACAAGGTTAATCCCTGTCAGTCTTAAGTCAGAGGCAATTCTGGATATTCAGTGGCACCAAACCATGGAGATCTGAGTCTTAGGTAATTTTTGTGTGGTCCTCTTGCTAACAATATGTAAAAAAAAAATCTTCAGACTGGGAGCCAGGCATGGTGGTGGACACCTGTGGTCCCAGCACTTGGAAGGCTGAGGCAGGAGGATCACCTGGGCTGCACAGTGAGTTCAAGGCCAGCCTGAATTATACAGCAAGACCCTGTCTCAAAATAAAAATAAAAACAAACAAACAAAACTTCTTCAGGCTGGGGATGTAGCTTAGTGGTAGTGTGTATTTAGTTTAAGAAGTTCTGGGTTCA